ATGTTTTGCAGCATTTCCAGACTTTACTCAGTAGATGTTAGTACCTCATCCTCCTCCCTCAGTGAAGACCACCAAAAATGCCTGTGGACATTGTCAGGTTTTCCCTGGGAGCCAGAACTTCCCTGGTTGTGAACCACTGTCTTAAATGAAGAAGTCTAAATCATGACTTTGTTATGTGAATAGTCTCAGGGTTTCTTCAAATGCGTAAGATTAAAAAATAGGAGACAAAAAATGTGCCTTTTCTTTATTCTAAGTTTTAGGAAAAATCAGAGGCAGACTATTAAGGTTTGGATATGAAGTGTTCCCCAAAGACTCGTGTTAAAGGTCTGGTTGCCAAATGCAGCCATGTTCAGAGATGGGGCTTTTGTGAAATGATTGGATCATGAGGGCTTTGACCCTGTCAGTGGATTAATCCACTGATAGCTGAATGAACTATTAGGAGGTGGTAGAAACTATAAGTAGGGCATGGTTAAAGAAGTGGGTCACTAGGAGCATACAGTTGGGAACTGTCTTGTCCCAGTCCCCTAGTTAAAGGTTATGACATCCTGTGTCTCCCCCTGACTTCCGGCTGCTATGAGCTGAGAAGCTTTCCTCCATCATACCCTTTCACCATAATGTTTTGCCTCTCAGACCTAGAGTGATGGAGTCAACCAACTGTAGACTGAAACTATGATCCATAATAAGTCATTCCTCCTTCACGTTGTTTTTCTCAGGTATTTGTCACAAAACAATAAGTTGACTAACATACAAACCTCACTTCATTTCCCAGATCATCCTCCTGTGGGAACTGTAGAAGGTGCTACACCCATCTATTCCACAGGCTTGAAATGGGAATAGAGACTACTTGGTCAACTTTTAAAATTTGCCGTGTAGCTGAAAAACAGGGTTATATGAAACAGGTAACAAATGTGTTAATCGCTAAATCTCAAGACCTTCTTGTAGTGTTTTCCAAACATTTTTAGTTGAAGACCTTTAAATTCTATGAGGGAAAGCTGGAATTGGACTAGAAAATCAGCAGAGTTTGAAAATCACTTGATGCACTATGAGATATTGGCCCCCCCAGGAAACTTACAAGTTTATTAAATGATTAAAAGCTAGGGAGCAAAGCTGGGCATGGTGACATATACCTTTAATCCCAGCTGCTCTGGAGGCTGAGGCAGGAGTATTGAAAGTTCAAGGCCAGACTGGGCAACTTGGCCAGACCTTTCTTTAAAAAAAAAAAAAAGTTAAGGCTGAGGGGTTTGGCTTGATGTTAGAGCCCAGTAAGTAGAGTCCAGTGGTAGCAGGTGCCCTGGGTTTGATCCCCACTGCTCCCCATCCCGAAAAATGACAAACAAAACAAAAAACTGCAGGGAACTATGAGCCATGCAATAAAGAAAGGGTTCCCTTCAGGGAATTTCTTCTACAATGTCCCTTTTCCTACCCTAACAAACTGCTATCCACCTTCTTGAGTATTCTCTTTCCTCAAATTGTGGGACCACAAATACACACGGTCTTGTGCTAGGTAATGTGTGAAGCCATAATAAACAAGGAATATCTTCATGGGTCAGCAACTGAACTAGGTGGTAAGTAAAATGCAATTCTCAGTGTTAACACAGTAAGGTACACATTGTGTATAATGTTTTAAGAATAAAATCAATTTTATTTTTAAAAATTTTTTAATTTTTGGTTCTGAGGTTGAACCCAGAGCGCACTACCACTGAAGCAAGCTGTCTTATGGATGAGAGTCAGAAGTTTGAGTGACAGATGAGATGCACAATGGGAGCTTGTTCTACTTTGTGGCTAGCTTTAGTTGGCATAAAATTCTTAATCCTAAACAAAAGTCACCTCTCTCAAATGTCTGTCATAAATTAAATTTTGGGCTAGATTTTAGTTATTTCTTCAGCTCCCTTTCTCAGCCTGAATACCCCGTGCATTTCCTCCCTTCATGTTATAAAGTTGTTGGACGACTTACGTCAGCTATGTACTTGATAAACCCTAACAATAAATAGTGTGGTGTGACTTGTTTCTGAGTACAGTGGAATGGGAGCATTCAGTTATCTGGCCACTTACAGTGTGGAAGCAAGTATTTCAGTTATTTTACCAGCTTCGTCATTATAAGATTTGTGATCAAGTGACAAGTCTCCATTCTGTTTGGCCCAGTACTTAGGCAGCTACTCTATTCAAACCTAAATGTCAGAATTTTATATTAATTCAGCTCATTTTCCTCATACAATTATATTCTTTTGTCTGTAGGTATCCTCTTGGTGTCTTTTGATATTTGTGGAGCATCCTATCCCATGCCAGGTTCTATGCTGTGGCACAGGATACTTTATAATATCACAGGAAAAGTTAAAGTTTATTACAAATATTAGGAAAAAGAGAGTAACAGAATTGGCCCGGTTAAGTAGATGACAATCAGGCTGATGGCAAGCTCTTACTAAGTGCTGGCCACTTAGGAGCACTTTACAAGTACCATGTGAAGAAGGTTCTGTCATCAAGTAAAGAGAACTTAAAATTTTCCCCAAATTACCACATCTGATTGTGGTGAAAATGCAGGAGTTCATTGTGCAGATTGGAAAGTCTCCTGACAGTGGGAAGAGTATGTAGCAAGGCTACATGGGAAGCACCACAGGAAGCTCAAGTGGGTGAAAGCAAATGATGCCAAATCAAAGACTATAATGAAGAGAAGGATGAGTTAATCAGGGCTCCAAAAATAGAGGCCAGACCCTACAGTCTGGTAGGTCATATGAAGAACAATGGGGAATTATTAAGCAAGAGGAATGACAGAAAATTAATGTTTAAAAAGGATCACTAGTTGTTAAGGACAGGATTTTAGTGACAGAGGTTACTGTTCATACTGTGAAACACCAAGACAAGAGGTGATGGACTGTTTGGTCCATGAAGAACATTGACAAAGAGATGCTCGCCTGCTAAAACAGATGAGCTGGTGATGCCTTAGATATGGAGCTAGGGAAGAATCAAGGATGATTTCCAAATCCCAAGACTATAGCAACTGAGTGGAAGCAACATGGGATAGGGAAGAGAATCAGACAGACATGGAGGTGGAGGGCGAGCTCAGTTGGGTTGTATTAAGTTGAAATATCCAAGACTTGCCTCGCAGGGCCGTTGGAAATATTGATCCGGAAAGTAGAGGAGAACCTGGGCTAGAGATTTGAATCCTCTGCCTACTTGGATGATTTTATTAAAGTAGCGGGTGAGGATGAGACTGCCTGGGTCTAGTGTCTGAAGTGTGGAAAGGGCTTAAGATAGTGTCATGGAGTTCCAGCATTCAGTGAGCACATTAGTAGAGGGTGAGTTTGTAAAGAAAAAGAAATAGTGGGGAAAGAGATTTCAGTGCCCGGTGGTGCTGCTAAGCAATGAAGCGAGGTAAGGACATGAACTATCCTTTGGTTTTAGTGATCTGGAGGTCACTGTCCCTTGATCAGTGTGGTTAGGAAGTTAGATACTGAAGTAGAAAGGACGGAGGAACAGAGGCAGAATATGAAGATAGTGATTCTAATTAGTTTCCTCATCAGCTTTCTATTTTGCTCTGAAGGGGCAATAGGATAATCACTAAAGGAGGATGTCAGAAAATTGGTGGGAAGAATGCAGTTGAGAAATAAACTGAATATAAGAAAAGAAGAATAATCATAGATTTTCTAAGTTATAGGAGAGAATTCAGAGCATTAGGTGGCAGGTTGACCATATACACTTTTCAGTCAGCAGTTATTTAATTGGGCAACTAGCAACCCATGGCCTAATAGAGATTATTATTATAATGGCATGAAACTAGCAATAGATGTGTAAATAAAAGAATTTAATCTGATATCTGCTACATTAAAAATGGTATAGGAAGGGGCTGAGGTTTGGCTCAGCCATAGAGCACTCACCTAGCACATGCCAGGCCCTGGATTCTATTCTCAACACCACCCACATAAATAAATAAAATAAAAGTATAAAAAAATGGTATAGGAAGTGGCTGCGGGGGAAAGGTTTTGAACTGCAGGCAGTCATTTTTTTAAATTATAAAATACAGACAATAAAATTTACCATCTTAGCCATGCAGTTCAATACTGTTAAGTATATTTATGTTGTTGGCAATCAGTCTCCACAATGTAGGATGATACTTAGCGCAGACTGGGGGAAAGGGAAAAGAGGAATTATTTAATGGGTATAATGAATCTGACTACTTCAGATACCTCATGAAAGTGGAATTATACAGTATTTGTGTCTTTTTCTACCGACCTCACAGGGTGGTTGTGAAGTAAAATAAGGTAGGTAAAAGCATCTAGTGCCATCCTGATATGATTTAGTGCTTCTCTGACCCTTTTGCTGATTTTTTGGATTTTTCACAAATGGAAGTAATAGCCACATGAGCTTTAAAAAGCTTGCTGGTGGGCTGAGGTTGTGGCTCCGTGGTACAGCACTTGCGGAGCACGCGTGAGGCACTGGATTTGATCCCTAGCACCACATTAAAAAAAAAAAAAAAAAAAGCTTGCTGGTCATTAAAAACAGACTTGCAAGGCCAATTAGACACTTTAGTCCCGAAATTTATCCCGTCTCCAGGCAAATTTTTCATCAGACTTTAGTTTTGTGGTTAAAGTTTTGACCCTTTTTAAAAAAAAAAAAAAATCTGCATCAGCCTGGTGCGGTGATACATGCCTGTAATCCCAGCGACGCGGGAGACTGAAGCAGGAGGATCGAACGTTCAAGGCCGGCCTAAGCAATTTAGGGAGACCGCTGTCTCAAATTTTAAATAAGTAAAAAGAACTAGGGATGTAGCTCAGTGGTGAAGCGCCCCCATTACCCACCCCGCCATCAAACCGTATCAAAAATATGTGCCCCTATTATGGGTGCTTTGGGACTAGCCTGGAGCAGGTTTGATGGAGGTGGGTAAACCGGTTTGACGGCGGGAACCGCTGGTGACACTCTGGGCTCTCGGGCTGGCCTGGAGGCGTGGCCACAGCGGAACCGCGCCCCGCCCCTGCCCGCGGCCCCACCTTCTCCCGCCGCGCCCCGGGAGCCCCCTCCGGTGTCCGGCTGCGCACGCGGGCAGCTTCTGCATGGAGGCCGGCTGGGGGCTGGGGGCGGCGGCCGGCCGCTCGCTGCTGCTGTGTGCTGCGCTGCTGGCGGCGGGCTGCGCGCTGGGCTTGCGCCTGGGCCGCGGGCGGGGGGCGGCGGACCGCGGCGCGCTAGCCTGGCTCTGCTACGACGCGCTGGTGCACTTAGTGCTGGTGAGTGTCTCGCTCCGGGCTGCTGCTTCCCTCTGGACCAACCTTCCCCATTCCAGGGAGTTTCCGCTGGAGATGATGGCTTTTCTTCCCCGTGGTTGGAAGTCTGGCAGGATCCGGGTGGGACCTGGACACTGGCGCGCTGGCCTCTGGCCAGATGCTGCATGGCCCCGAGTTCTGATACCCGAGTCTGTGGACAGAGCCTGCCGCCCTTCTAGTGCTCCCGGTTCCTGTACCAAACTTAAAGCAAAACAAAAGCCCTGAAAATTGCTAGAAGAGTTTCTGTTTGATTAAAAGCTGCTCAAAAGCAACAGCCTTGGCTTCCTTGGCTTTATAACCAACGTATAAGTGTTGAACTGAAAAAGACTTAGTTTAGGTCCTTTTTGAATGGCAGAACCTACACCAAAGCAAACAATAGTATTACACCAAGGCTGTAATAGTAATCACATTTATTGGGCACCCACTGTGTGCCTGGAACAGTTCTGTGTTTAAAATTTTTTTCTTACAACATCCCATAAACTACTTATTCTCCCCATTTTACAGAGGTGAAACCAGATCCTGAAAAGTAGCTGGCATAATTCTGAGTTGGTTTCTTCTGACTCCAAAGTTTGCACTTTTTATATCGTTGTGTCCTTAAAAATTCACCCCACTTTATAAAATAGCCAATAAGTGTGCATTTAAGAGGATTCTGTTGAAATACCCCCACCCACATCCCTTTTTTAAACTGTGTGTGTGTGTGTGTGTGTGTGTGTGTGTGGGCGGGGTGGGATGGGGTGTGTGTGTGTGGTGCTGGGGATTGAAGCCAGGGCCTTGTGCCTGCGAAGCAAGCACTCTACCAACTGAGTTATATCCCCAACCCTGTTTTGTTTTCTTTTTTAAAACTATGCCAAAATATCTTATTGTTTGTAACTTTGAACTAGCTTAAATCTAGACAAATCTTTAGATAACATGAAGTCAAAGTCCATAGCATTGAGAAAGAAAAAGGAAGCAAAATTTTTGGTAATCATTTAGGTGTGGGTGTTTACCAGTTAAATATGTGTCTATACCAGATTTTGCTGGAATTACAAAATATCTTCTTTCCTAATAATCAGTATGGGAGATAAGAGACCATGAATATTTCCCACAGCTCATTTGTTTATAGAATTGATTTTTAAGCTGTCCCTTGAACTCAAAATCTGCCAAAGAACAGGGGTAGTAAAACTGGTTGCTGAGCCCGCTAAAACAAACAAAAAACAAAAAACAAAACAAAACAAAACAGATTATGCCCTGCACAGTGGAGCACACTTGTAGTCCCAGGGATTCAGGAGACTAAGCAGAAGGATCCCACGTTCAAAGCCAGCCTCAGAAACTTAACAAGGCCTTCAACAGTTTAACAAAATCCTGTCTTGTTTTTCCATCAGACACAGATTTATTTAGGAAAAAAGATACACATTCAAGGGAGAATATAACCCATCTCCAGAGGGAGAGACCTCCCCCCCCCCAAACAAGACCCTGTCTTAAAAAATAAAAAGGACTGGAAATGGAACTCAGTGGTAAAGTGCCCCTGGGTTCAACCCCCAGTACCCTCCAAAATTTTTAAAATTTATTTATTTTAATTAGGTATATATGATAGCAGAGTGGGTTTTAATTCATTGTACACAATTGCAGCACAACTTTACATTTCTATGGTTGTACACAATGTAGCATCGCACCATATGCACAGTCATACATGTACCTAGGGTAATGATGTCCATCTCATTCCACCATCTTTCCTGACCCCCTGGGCCCTCCCCCCCTTCCCTCCCCCCTTCCCTCCCCCCTTCCCTCCCCTCCCCCTCCCCCCTTTCCTCCCCCTCCCCTCCCCCTCCCCCCTTTCCTCCCCCTCCCTTCCTCCCCTCCTCTCCTCCCCTCCCCCTCCCTCCCCTCCCTTTTGCCCAATCAAAGTTCCCCCATTTTCCCATGCCTTCCCCCTCCCTGTTATGGATCAGCATCCACTTATCACAAAGAATATTTGGCCTTTGATTTGGGGGGATTGGCTTACTTTGCTTAGCATGATATTCTCCAACTCCAACCATTTACCTGCAGATGTCATAATTTTTTTCTCTTTTAATGCTGAGTAATATTCCATTATGTATATATACCACAGTTTCTTTATCCATTCATCTACTGAAGGGCATCTAGGTTGCTTTCACAGTTTAGCTGTTGTGAATTGAGCTGCTATGAACATTGATGTGGCTGAGTCACTAGTTTGCTGATTTTAAGTCCTCTGGGTATAGACCGAAGACTGGGGTAGCTGAGACAAATGGTGGTTCCATTCCCAATTTTCCAAGAAATCTCCATACTGCTTTCCAGATTGGTTTCACCAATTTGCAGTCCCACCACCAATGTACGAATGTGCCTTTCCCCCCACATTTTCACCAACATTTATTATTGCCTATATTCTTGATAGCTGCCATTCTGACTGGCATGAGGTGAAATCTTAGAGTAGTTTTGATTTGCATTTCTCTAATTACTAGAGATGTTAAACATTTTTTTCATATATTTGTTGATTGAGTGTATATGTCTTCTGAGAAGTGTTTATTTAGCTCCTTAGCCCATTTATTGATTGGGTTGTTTGTTTGGGGGGTTTTAAGTTTTTTGAGTTCTTTATATATCCTGGAGATTAGTGCTCTATTTATGTGTGTATGGTAAAAATTTGCTACCAAGATGTAGGCTTTCTGGTCATCTCACTGATTGTTTCTTTTGCTGAGAAGAAACTTTTTAGTTTGATTCCATCCCATTTATTAATTCTTGATTTTACTTCCTGCACTTTAGGAGTCTTGTTAAGGAAGTTGGGGCCTAATCCAACATGATGAAGATTTGGGCCTACTTTTTCCTCTATTAGGTGCAGGGTCTCTGGTTTAATTCCTTGGTGCTTGATCCACTTTGAGTTGAGTTTTGAGCATGGTGAGAGAGAGGAATTTATTTTCATTATGCTGCATATGGATTTCCAGTTCTCCTGCACCATTTGTTGAAGAGGCTGTCTTTTCTCCACTCTATGTTTTTGGCGCCTTTGTAATATAATGCAATGTATGAATGTGCCTTTTCCCCACATCTTCACCAACACTTATTGTTGTCTGTATTCTTGATAGCTGCCATTCTGACTGGCGTGAGATGAAATCTTAGAGTAGTTTTGATTTGCATTTCTCTAATTACTAGAGATGTTGAACATTTTTTTCATATATTTGTTGATTGAGTGTATATAGCTTATGAGAAGTGCATGAGATAACTGTATTATGTGATTTTGTCACTGTGTCTTCTATTCTGTACCATTGGTCTACATGTTCATTTTGGTGCCAATACCACGCCATTTTTGTTACTATAGCTTCACAGTATAGTTTAAGGTCTGGAATTTTAATGCCTCCTGTTTCACTCTTCTTGCTAAAGATTGCTCTAGCTATACTGGGTCTCTTATTTTTCCAAATGAATTTCATGATTGCCTTTACTATTTCTATAAGGAACAACATTGGGATTTTAATTGGAATCACATTGAATCTGTAAAGCGCTTTGGGTAGTATGGCCATTTTGACAATATTAATTTTGCCTATCCATTCACCCCACTTTATAAAATAGCCAATAAGTGTGCATTTACGAGGATTCTGTTGAAATGCCCCCACCCACATGCTTTTTTAAGAGGATGGAAGATCTTTCCATCTTCTAAGGTATTCTTCAGTTTCTTTCTTTACTGTTCTATAGTTTTCATTGTAGAGGTCTTTCACCTTTTTTGTTGATTCCCAAGGTTTTTTGTTGTTGTTGTTGTTTTTTTTGAGGCTATTGTGAATGGGGTAGTTTTCCTAATTTCTCTTTCAGAGGATTTATCATTGATGTATAGAAATACATTTGACTTATAAGTATTGATTTATATTCTGCTACTTTGCTGAATTCATTAATTAATTCTAGAAGTTTTCTGGTGGAGTTTTTTGGATCCTCTAAGTATAGAATCCTCTTGTCAGCAAATAATGACAGTTTGAGTTCTTCTTTTCCTATCCGTATCCCTTTAATTTCTTTCTTCTAATTGCTCTGGCTAGAGTTTCAAGGACTACATTGAATAGAAGTGGTGAAAGAGGGCATCCCTGTCTTGTTCAAGTTTTTAGAGGGAATGCTTCCAATATTTCTCCATTTAGAATGATGTTGGCCTTGGGTTTAGCATAGATAGCTTTTACAGTGTCGAGGTATGTTCCTACTATCACTAGTTTTTCTAGTGTTTTGAACATAAAAGAGTGCTGTATTTTGTCAAATGCTTTCTCTGCATCAGTTGATACAATAGTATGATTTTTATCTTTTTTTAAATATTTACTTTTTATTTGTGCATGGACACAATACCTTTTATTTTATTTATTTATTTTTATGTGGTGCTGAGGCTCGAACCCAGGGCCTTGCACAAGCTAGGTGAATGCTCTACCTCTGAGCAACAACCCCAATCATGAGTTTTATCTTTAAGTCTATTGATGTGATGAATTATACTTATTGATTTCCATATGTTGAATCAAACTTGCATCCCTGCAAAAAAAAAATTTTAAATTATTACAACATTTTAGGCATACAAAAAAGGTCTGAAAATACTAAACAATATGTCTACATGTCCACCACCTACTTTAAGAGTAAGTCTACTTTGCAAGCACAGTTGTTAAAGGTAAAATGACACATAACTTTATTGATGGGGCCTTGAGCTGTAGTCTGATGTGTGGAATTATGTTCTGATCTCTCTGCTTCCTGTTCTGAAGGAAATGTCCCCCACACAGCCCCTTCTTGAGGCATTTATCTTTCTTGACTGCAGAGTGTTCCGCTATGTGAATATACTGTACCTCAGTTCTTCAAGTCAAAGATGCACATTTTTCCACATATTACAATAATCAATGATATAACTGTTTCATGTGAAGAACAGTAGTTACTAATGTCACTCTGAATGTGAAACCCATATTAGAAATCTCTTTTTCAGATAAGTGTAAGGAGAAATTTAGTTTCTCCTAAAAAAATTGATTTGT